AGAGAGATAGATAGATAGATGGAGAGATAGATGGATAGATAGATGGATAGATAGAGAGAGAGAGAGAGATAGATAGAGAGAGAGAGAGAGAGAGAGATAGATAGATGGAGAGATAGATGGATAGATAGATGGATAGATAGAGAGAGAGAGAGAGAGAGATAGATAGATAGATGGATAGATAGATAGATAGATAGATATAGAGATATATAGATATACACATATCACTTAGTGACTTGACACTGATCTATGTGTATATCTATATATCTCTATATCTATCTATCTATCTATATCTCTATATCTATCTATCTATCTATCTATCTATATCTCTAGATCTATCTATCTATCTATCTATATCTCTAGATCTATCTATCTATCTATCTATCTCTCTATCCATCATCTATCTATCTATCTATCTCTCTATCCATCATCTATCTATCTATCTATCTCTCTATCCATCATCTATCTATCTATCTATCTATAGATACAAAGATACAAACAAACCATTAACGAAGAGCAAAAGTCCCAATTTCTTCACTTGTTTGAGGTAATAATTGTATGTGTGCACTATGTTCTAGTACAGCGCCACCATGTGTGTTTGATGGAATTAAACAGTGGCTGAGAAATTCGCTTTTTTTTTTTTAGTGAATTTAATTTGTAACAAATCAGCGGCTTCTACAGCCAGAGAGAAGGAAAAAAAAGGGAAAAGTGCAGACGGAGTGTGTTTGCTCTCCACAGCCGGTATCAAAGTCAAACATTCCCTGATGCCCAGTGACACACACACACACAGACACACACATCATTTAATTGTGCGGGGATGCCTTTGCGTGATACATCAAATGTGACACGGATGTCAGTTTAAAATCCAATTTGAATCTGCTGGAAAGTTCACACTGAGATATGTCACTTCTAAATGTGTTTGGAATCAGATTAGGGGAACAATCTAATTTCCTTTTAGTCGTTACAATATGAATTCAAACGTATGGGCGTAGAGAAAAGTCTGATCTGTATCGTGAGCATGGACAAGGCCTTGGAGACGTCTGCCAGAAACACACCTGTGGCAAAACTTGGTCATCACCCGCTGGGGGAGTGATAACGTATTCAGAAATAATGAATATATACATCAATACCTGTTTTTACGACTTATAAACCCTAAAAGTGCATCCAAATGGCGGATAAATTGCAAATGCTTTTAATTTAATCTCAGAATATTAGGACTAATTCTTCTTTGATTCCATTTCAATTATCCTTCTGACTGACTTTTCTTTTTTCCCTTTTTTTTAGCTGCTTTTCAAACACAAATATAGAAAAAAATATCACAAAACATTTTTTAAATTTTTAATCAAAATGTAATAAGTTTAATTAAATGAAACTAATGTCATAGCGTTTTAGAGAAAAATTATAATTAAAATCACCTTAATACAAAGTCGTAAGATTAACCTCTGCTCTTACAAACAAATTAATATGAATATGGTTATAAAATGGCCAACAACCTACCAGGGGAACATTACGGTGAACATATAAATGTTGCCAAAAGGCTTAGAAAGTACCAGGAATGTCACTGAACAATTGGGACAGAGCTGGAACAGCTTGGTCTGCATTCTTGTTCTTTAAAAAAAAAAATAGGGGTTTGTACTTCTGAACATGATCAGACATGAAAATTTTGTCCTCGCTCATTCCCACTCCAGCCCCCCCCCTCCACTCTAGGTTAAGGGTTGAGTTCTTTTGAGGGAGGGAGAGAGAGAGAGAGAGAGACTCTAGGTTAAGGGTTGAGTCCTTTTGAGGGAGAGAGAGAGAGAGAGAGAGTGTGTTTGAAAAAAGGTTGTTTTTTTTACAGGCTTTGCATTCCTTTCTTCTAAGGGATTTAAGAAAAAAGGTTTTTTTTTACAGCATTGCATTCCTTTCTTCTAAGGGATTTAATTTGATTTTTTAGATTACACTACAATAAAAATTTAAACGTTACTGACATCTCGTCCTGGGCCAGTTGTGGAGGGTTCTCGGCCCAGAAGTGGTCCCAGGGCCAGAAGTTTGAGACCCATGCTGTACTTAATATCTGTAATGACTTTTTTTCCCCAACATAATAGTCTCACCGACGCTCATTTCACTGCGTTATAATTATCCTAATGCAACACATCCCTTACAATAACCAAGGAGGACGTGTTTCCGTCACTGCTTATTGTTTCTTCGATGAATATTTTAAAAATCTAGTTTGTGAAGAGGAGGAACACGCTGCAATAAAGACGTTATTATTTCCCTCAATATGATTCCAATAACTCAGGAGACACCGTGTTTGTTTTTCCACCCGAGCAGAGGTGCACGTCATAAAACCACGTGTGATCTCATGACAGCATCAACTCAAAAATTCATCTCTCCATTAAAATGTTTTATATTTTGTTGACAGTGAAACCTTTAAAATAAAATACACATCCTACCTCTAGTCTCCTTAAATCTCAAATGTTTTTTTTTTTTTTAATCTCATTCTGTCAGTTTGACAACAAACCAATATCGCTGGATGGGATCATAATAGACGCAATGCACCAGAGATAATGACTTTTCCATTAAAAGCGGCCCCAGTCAGGTCCTGACGGCTCTGTCACAGTCGGGAGATTGTGTTAAAGCAGAAGACAAGACTTACCTCGGCGCATGAGACGATCAAAACAAGTTAGCCAAACAGCAGGGAAGTTACCGGCCGCCGGACAAGACTCTCTGGGACTGAATCCATGCTTAAATACTGCCCTTCTTCAATTGGAGGCCACGCCCCCCCAGAGGAGACATCAGCTGCAAAAAAACACAAAACACAAACAACACAGACTGTGGATTGATGTTTTATATAAATATCTAACAATTCTAGTCTCAAGCGAAGGTAAAAACATACCTGGGCCAAATTCAGGTCTTCATGGTATAAGTGGTCCGCTTTAGGCTCAGGAGAACTTTGTCTGGGCCAGACAACTGCTAAAGGTGCTGCTAGGAGTGACCCGACTTCTCACTCTGCGTAACACTGTTTGGGGCAATGCGAAAACTGCTGTGTAATGGACTAGCTTTATGGGAGACAGCGTTGGGCTCAACCAGTACTTCTCAAATAGTGGGGC